AACTTTCCGACGCAGGCCCAACACTACAAAATTTTAAAATCACATGAGCACAGTGGAGTTATAAGGTAGGCAAAGAGTAGTAATAATTATATTTAAACTTTTTTTTGGAAGTGATAAAAGGCAAAATAAAAGTTTTTTTTTTTTGAAAGTATTGTTAGTTGTATTTATTTTGTATGAATGTCATTCTGTATGTTTCACATTGATAAGATCAGGTGGGCTATAGGTATGTAATTTAAATGTTTTGATCGAAATGGATTCCCAAGATCTGTAATTATTTAAAAAAAAAGCTAAACATTTAAAATTAAACTGTTGTTGAAAATGTCAACCAGTTTTTACTTGGATCTTTGAAAGGCACTAAAACAAGGTGCTTGAGTATTGTTTCTTTTGAGTACGTAGTCCATAATTTTTCCAGCGTGGGATTTCAACTGAATGTTGTCGTCTTCCATAGGATCCTGTGGTGTCGAATACAAACGCCATGCTGCTATACACATTATCCGAGTAGAACACTATAGACTCTAAAGTGCAGTAAACCATCTAAAGCAAAGTCACTAGACAAAGCATGGCTTAGAAAAACCCTAAGATTACTCTTTTTAGGTCTATGGACATTACAATAGTTTTTAACACAAACAAATCCTATTATGCAGTAAAAATGACTCATATAACCATAACTTGTATAATGTATTAACGGCAAACTATTATTCTGTTCGTTTAAAACAGATTCACAAAACATTATTTTATTTCATAATCATAAAAAAGAGTATCAATAAACCGTACACAAATAAACGCTTACCACAGTTTTAGTGTTGACTTTTGAAAATAATATATTCCGGTTGGCATAAAAGAATCTATTAATTATGCATATTACGTATAATATTTTTAATAGTATATGAAATACGCAAGTACAATGTTTGTTCTATAAACATTAGGTTAGTAGAATATATAAAAATGAATAAAGTATATTGTAATGCAAAATGTACTCTTTTTAATTAATGTATTGCTTATCCATATTTATGATTTTATTTTACATTTATTATATTATAGCGATACTATTTCAATTGGAAGGCAAAATAAAAATGAGATTTTTATATTATAATACTCACTTCATATTTTAACTTTTGCCTACAAAACTTTTAAACAAGACTGGTTAAATTAGTTAACTTAAAAAATTCCATTAGTAAAACCATTTATAATTTGAATTGTAATTATTTTTTTATTTATTTAATTGCATTATTGTAATCAATGATAACAATGCACCAGCTACTTATATCAAAAAACTCGACACTTAACATCATTGGATAATTTACAACACTTCTTGCCCTTGACTTCATTATAAAGCGTCATGTAAAAAAAAGGGCAAATGGTTTTTACATACAATTTAATTTAAATGTATAGACGAAATATACATAAAATAACTACTAGAAAACATAATTATTAAAATTTTAGCCGAACTCAAGTATAGGATTCACTGGTTTCACAACCAAACAAATTATTGCATCGGCATAACACTTTGACTCTAAAGTTTTTGAATCGTGATGGGTTATTTTTAACCCGACTCGCCGGTCCGTCAAGGTCCTTGTATTGTTTCTATTTTTTATGTATAAACTTTTGATCGTGCACATTCGTCATTGGTACAATAGATCGACGCGTTTTCGCCTTTCATCGCCCACCATTTTTGTTAATCCTTTAATTATTTCCATCACTTTGAATTGACATGCAAGTGGAAAATGTTCAACGCGACGCGACCATTATATCAAAAGGTTGTACGCTAAATTGTGCGTACTTATAGAGCTGTATGTTTCTGATCACATTGGAAAACTATCAATTATTTTATCAGTCCATTACTCGCAATTATTAACTATTACGTGTACTACTATAAAATAAGCAAAAAATCAACTTACTTTATAACCTAGTAAAGTCGCCAAAAAACTCGTATATCATTACAAAAATTGATTCGGACCAGCTTAAGTGTTTGAAATTTTGTCTGAATTTTTGGTCTAAAACGTCAAAAAACAGACTTTTTTTTTTACGTTCCAGCGTATAACAATCAAGTTTTCTAAAAGTTTTTATAAATTTATCTACTAGACTGAAACGTTAACTAAATAAAAATCAGGTTTAAGGTATCTTGATTATTGTATGCTCAGTCATTTGTTAATACTATGTACATTGTTACACGAAGTGTAAAAATAAAATTCACCATATTTCTGCTTTGTATACAATTGACATTTTAATAATTTTCTAGTACTAAGTATAAGGATCCGTGAAGTCACTGAGTCGAGAGAGAGTGTTAAGAAATATTGTTGCATTCTGAAAATTTTAATCTAAGGTTATGCTTATAAAAAATCCCATCCTTTCAGCGTCTATAATGCTGACTTAAGAATGATATTCTTAGAATGTCATCATCGTCTGTATAAAACAGTTATTTCATTAAACGTCGAATACTTGGTGTGAAAACTCGGTAAACGCGTAGATTGTTAATTTTATTGTAATCAAGCTGTCCCGACCCGGCGTTACCCAGAATTAGGTTTGCCAGGGCCGAGTAAAATATTTACAAATAAGATTAAAAAAAAAGTCAGTACTCTAGGCTCTAAAGTTTTAGCATACCCCGTCACGGCTTTTTTTTTACCTACATATTATGTACATTTGTGGGGCACTTGAACGGCCGCTTTTAAAAATAGATTTTCTTGATATCAATTTCAGATAAGAACGCTTACTAAATATTATTAGGTTAAAAATAACATGTCATTTAGTAATCGTGTAACAGAGGAGTGGAAAACAACGTGCTTTTGCGATACAATCGTTTTATAAAAATAACGACAGTTATGTGGCTGCGAAGCGTTCATTTCGTGTACATTTTAACCTTAAACGGCGTGATCCAGTGCCGTCAGCTAAGGCTATTTAAGTTTGGATAACTAACTTCGAAGTAACAGGCTCAGCTATATAATAGAAGCCTGAACGAAAAAAAAATATTCGTACACATGAAAACATCACTGCTGTCAGAGCCGCCCTCTTAAAGAGTCCAATACGTTCTGCACGATAACATGCGTTATCGTTAAATTTATCCAGTAGGAGCCTACGTCGGATTTTACACAAAGAACTAAATATTCACCCATATAAGGTGCAGATGGTTGAAGAATTAAAACCTACAGATTTCTGCATTCGCACAATTTTTTGCCGAGAAATGCTAACCCGGATGGATGAGAACGAAAACTTTATTCGAAATGTTCGGATGTCTAATGAAGCACATTTCCATCTTAATGGTTTTGTGGATAAGCAAAATTATTGTCGTTATTGGTCTGAAGAGAATCCTCGCCAACTTCACCAACGACCGAGTAACAGTATAGTGTGCAATTATTTCACAATATGGCATCATTGGCCCGTACTTTTATGAGGACGAAAATGGACGGACAACCACAGTAACCTCAAATTGTTATGTTTATATGATTAATCATTTTTTAGTCGGTGAACTAACAAAGTTTCCTCAAAATGATGACTTTTGGTTTCAAAAAGATGGTGCGACATCTTACACGGCCCGAGTGTCAATGAATGCTGTTCAACAGATTTTTGGAAATAGCATTATTTCCAAAAACGGTGATATTCATTGGCTACCTAGATCGCCAGACTTTACACCATGTGACTTCTTTTTGTGTGGGTATTTAAAAAGTAAAAAAGTAAAATACCCGAGATCCTGTATGTGAAATTAGCGCTTGTTTAAAATACGTCTGGACAATTCGAGTGACTTGATGCCTATTTGGTATTGATAAATTTTCTGTTGTTAAGGTAAAGGTAGAATTAATCTATTGTTTTACGTCAAAACTAATTTCTAAGCGTTTGAAAATCACGACTGGACAATGGACAAATAAAATCGAAATCACACAAACTAAATTAATTATATTTACATGCAGACCAAAAAAAACCGTCTATGCCAGCAATAGCGTTATTGAATACATATTCAAGTCGAACAATGATCAGCTTAATTTGGTCAAAATACATCGTAAGGAAATAAGAAATATTATAGTATTGAAAATGGTTTTGTAAAACTATTTTAGTACTGTAAATACTATTTTTCAATAATTATAAATATATTTGTTTAATTCCTACAGAAATTAATTAATGATATTATAACATGTGCATAAAATTAATTTGTATACAGGGTGATCCAACTAACGTAAGACACTCATTTTCTCGGAAAATATGAATATTTTGAGAATTTTTTTTTTTCTAAACTTTTAGGTACATATTTTACTACATTTTTTAATATTTAGAATTTTTTTATCTTCAACCCTTATACGTTATAAAACTACGAAACTCGTTTTTTCAAATGGAAACATATGTTTTTAATTCCATAAGTATGTAGACAATTTTTTTTAAAAATTGTTAGCGTTTGAATTTTCAATTTTCAACTATCTGTTCGTTTTCTGTGACTTAGTAAAGATTTGAAATTAAAATCAATATTTGTTCGGTTTTTCAGCAGTAGCACTTTTATTTGCCAGTAAATAATGATAATATTGGACCCCATCGATAATACTGTCACCGATAATGAGACATAAATAACTCTGGCTCTAATTTTTTTTTATTATTATATGGACAATCGATTCTTAATCTACCTGTTTGGAAACAAATATACCTTACATAACCGTCATCCGTTCACATGTATTATCAGTAGACTGCGATGTGGACGATTTTGCCTTAAACCACTTTTACGGTATGATTATAATATAGCGTTAATATTATTATCACAGTATCATTATACTATGGTATGAGTAAAACTTAAATTGTCAAACGACAAACAACGTGTACTCGTGATTTGTGAACAGTTTTTTTTATATATAAAGAAGAAACTAGTATTGTGTTTTAAAATGTCTAATTGTGGTTAGTGACATACATTTTACAATTTGTTTTGAAACTATAATGAATGTAATGATTTCATAAATATAATTAGTTCTCATTAGTAATAGTAAAATTTGTATTTAAGACTTGGAAAACTCAACATAACAACCAAGTTATACGATATACCTACTGATTTATTTAATACTATACGTAATATATTATTATTATATGGCCAATTAACAGTTGTTAATTATAGTTTAACTGGAATAAATGTTGATGACTAACCGCAGGAAAGCTGTAAGTATAATATATTAAATACTAAAATTTTAATTTATAAAATTTTAATTTGTATTTTTTAACAGGACATTTTTTAAGAAGATTACTGGAAAGATAATGATGTGTTGAAACCTTAATGTACAATTTGTCACTGATTACAATAGTCAGTATTGGTTTATCAAGCTACATATCAATATGTCATTTATGATTATTCAGTTACTAGTTAGGTATGTTTCGAATATCAATATGCACTAGAGTCTAGATGTGCAATATTTTAGTATTGAAAAACTGTATATTGTGAATAATAGATATTACACTATTACTATTAGTAAATTGTTACTTTGTATATTTTTAGTTGTGTCAACGTCTTCATTTTGAAGTCGTCTTTTGTAGATATAACCCAAAAATGTACAAAATAAAAATAATATTGTTTTAGATTAGGCATTTTATAGAAATTAGGAGATATAAGTTAATAATTATTAAATTATTTTTTTCAGATGAAGAAAATATTGCTTTCTACTTGGAATCTTAGAAGAATAAAATATTAGCATTTAACACAACCATACTCAACCAGCGGCCCCTGGGCTGCATACAGCCCGCCGATTATTTTTATGTGGCCCAAAAAGAACTCATATTATAAATATTTAAGGGCTATAAAAAAATATATATATTAATATAAAATATAACAAAACAATTATATTTTCAAGATGTGTAACGTTCGAGATTGCAATAAGGATGTTAAATTTTAACATCATAATTATTTGTCTCGAATAATAACTTGTATAAGCATTTTTATTAGTACCATTTAATGTTAAAAATATTAGTTTCTTTTAGTCAAGTCACTCTATAATTATAGTTGACTATTCATTTTTTTAATTTGGCTTAACAAATGAAAAAAGTTAGATTTTATGTTATGTGGTAGCTTTTGTTTTCTAGTTTCTTACATGAATGAAATCATCTTTAAAAAAAAATGTAGCAATATTTTTTTTTATCAATGAAGCAAATGTATTCATATTTGGTTAATATTTTTATTTATGGTAGATCTAATGTCAGATTTTATTTAATTTAAAATTTTGTAATCTAACCCATATTTTGCATTTCTAATGCATAACGGATATTTGATTATGGAGTATAAAATTAATTAAACTTGGTGTTTGACTATCATCCATACATTTTATACCAAATATTTTCTTCAAAATATTAATGATTGACAAATAAATGCGTATAGGTTATAACATGTTGACAATAAATCAAACTTTTTCATTTGATGATTTAATCAAGTCAGTAAATGTACATAAAATAAAATAAAGTAGTTGTATTGATTTGAAAATTCAACTGTTGTTCACTTGTGCTCTTTTAATTATTATTAAACTAATGTAAATATTTTTTTTATCAATATTCATTTTTTTGTAGAATATACTTTTAGTAATAATTACAATTTTAAATAGAATATTTTATTATATACAGGGTGTCCTACAAAGATCTGACAAACGAAATATATTTTATTATTATTATTATTACGCTATAGTGTAATCGGTGTTCGATACTGATAAACCTACTTCCCATAATATGTCAAATATCAAAAATATATTTACAAAATGTTTACTATTACTAGTAGAAATAAGTTTTTGCTTATGAAATCATTATGTTTATTAGTTTTCATCGTACATTGTAGAGCAATATAAAATGTAGTCACAATTAGAGAATATATAAACACAATTGACTCTACTTAAATAGTTAAATGTATTAACAAAAAAAACGGCATAGGAGTATAGGACGTTTCCGGGTTCTGAATACACAATGCAAGTCACGTTGCCGGCAGCCGGTTGCACGCACTTTTTTTGGGCTTGAGAATATATCATAATCATACCGTGATAATATGGGTAGGTAAGGTTGGAAAAAATTTCGTCGTAAGTGTTGTCTACTGATAAGATATGTGAACAATTGACCAGACATGTATATGGTATCGCGGTTTCTGACAGTAGGTAAAGAACCGCATCTCCATATATTATAAAAAAAAAAAGTAAGGAGTATTACTATTATCTGATTATCGGTTTTATCGACGGACGACGGGGCGAGGTCGATAATATTATTTAATAGTATTTAATATGCTACCTGTTTTGAAATCCCAAAGAAATATGGATCAAAATTTCAAATCTTTACAACGTAATAACTACAAAACCGATTGATGAAAATTAGAAATTCAAACGCTAAAACTTTTTTAAAAATGTTGTCTACAGATTTATGAAATTAAAAACATACGTTCCCATTTAAAAAACCAAATGTGATACTTGTTTTACATATAAGGGTTGAAGATAAAAATATTCTAAATATTGAAAAATGTAGTAAAATATGTACCTAAAAGTTTAGAAAAAAAAAAATTCTCAAAATATTTATATTTTCCGAGAAAATGAGTGTCTTACGTTAGTTGGATCACCCTGTATATATCTCATGTTATATCTTTTAATAATGACTTTACTGTTAGATACTATGACATTTAAATATAATTTTTATTTTAGATTAAGTTAGCTGAATAACGATTTTGTAAAATTTAATACTTTTTAATGCATTACCGTTAGATTTAAAAAAAAGACAAAAAGTCGCGGCATCGTGACCGAGAGGGTTAAAACGGCAAAAAAAACTCAACATATTATAGTTGTAGTATTAGATAGTATTATTCTTTGATTAAATATATTGCTAGTAATATTATTATTAAAATTAATTCGACAACAGTATCACATCCACAAGATGCTTGTGAGTAAAATATGAATTAACTTTTAAAAACTGTGGTATATAGGTATGTAATGTAATTACGTACTTCCATTTCCCCCCAAAATTAAGCGGTTATTATGTATTTTGATTATATATGACATAAACAAATATTATCTCTGAGAAAACGGTTGACGTTTAAAATTGCAAAAACTATAATATTCAGTTTATAAAAAAAATAGCGGAATATGTATGGTATGTAGTCATCTAAAAAAACGACTTTCATTAATTATTAGCAAATAAAAAAATTAAATTGTAAACATACAATTCACAGAAATCGCAATTACTTTTTCGATTATTACCCTGTAGTTATTTATTATATTGCATTAATTTATTCTTCGTAAATATCATAACAATAATTAATATATAATAATTATTATTACAAACAATTTAACACAGTTTTTTTATAGAGAACAAATTACTGTTTTAACTAAAAATTTGTATTGCGTATAAAACGGAAATATTTTTTAAACTAATTTGTACAACGAAAAATCGTCCACACTTCAGATTGAAATTAAAATGCGCCGACGGAAAGTTAAATGTACATAGCAAATAAATGTATACATAAGCAATAAACTACAACCGTTTTTAAGGTTTACTACAACAAATATAATGTGTAGTTAGCAAAAATATGTGATAGTTTTATATGGGTTTAAACAAAACAATACAGTTCATTAAATATTTAATTAAAACCATTGTCTTTGGTAGTTACATTAACAATTTTATAATGCTGGAGAGCGGTCGCATAATTTTTGTTTGTCCATATTGATATATATATATATATATATATTTTTTTTTTTTTGTATATATTTCAAAATATAATTAAACCTTATATTGTATATGTAAAATAAAGTATAAAATGACTACGGTATAAATATATGAAACGCCAATAGTCACCTGACGAATGCTTAGCACACAGCGTTGCGTTGGTGTTAGCGGAAACCCGCAGTTATCTCGAAGGCGGCTTATATTCAACTAGAGATAATATAATATCGATTATATTATTGGATTTTAAAAGTGCAGCCAAGCGCGTTGGACAAGATTCCATGCACCGAGTCTCTTGTATGCATTTATATAATCGGCTAACGTCGAGGAGCTAAAGAGACAAAACAAATGTTTATTGTTATTCACACATAATATTAATAAAAATGTATAATATTTCAACACAATTTAATATGTATAATACTTTTCAATATTTAATAATTCAATTAATATTATACATAAAATGTTTGACACGGAAACTTTTATTACTAAAGTACAATATATGAATATATTTGGAATTTAAGTAGTTTTTAAAAACGTTCTGTACATACTATGTAAAATGTATTCATTGCGATATATTAAAGTGAATGAACACTTTTTATTTCGGTTTGTTCACCGTACATACATTTTATTTTAAACCAACTATTGTGAATATTAAAGTTTTTTCCTTTAACCCCTTTTTTAATACTTCAACATTATAATTTATACCATTTTAATGTTATATATTCTATAATAAAATATTTTTCCTAGACACTTACCAAAAAAAAAAAGATAAAATTGTCTGTCCACCATTAAAATAGGTAGTATTGATAATCGTTCAAAAATTACCTTAGAAATCTTTACGAAAACAATCAAAAATATATTCTTAGATATTAATAAAAGAAAAAATATCTAGAAAAACATTGAATTAACAAATTAACATAATTGACAAATTAACAAAATTATATTTTTAATCCAAGTAAATTTAAAATTAAAACTTCTGTAACAAAACGTGTACATGCCTACCTTTATTAAGTTTTTGTAAGCAATAATTTTTAAATCTTATTTAAATCTGAAAACTGATAATTCGATCAATTTGGCAGTTAGTAACTTTGATAAATCCTAATATTGCAATATAATGTGTATTAAACTCCAGAGTAAAGGTTTAGGACAACCCTGACTAGTAAAATAAAATTGTTTATGATTCAAACACCAAGTCTCTAGCTAGAGTTAATGGCAAAAATATGGGAAACTGGTAATTGAAATTACCATGTGATACGTGGAACGTAAGAACCTTGTATTAAACCAGTAGCGACTTTGGACTTAATACGAGAGGTTGAAAAGTATAAAATGAAGTGTGTGGTTTTACAAGAAATCAGGTGGAAAGAAACTGGGACAACTATAATTTTGTGCACACATAGAGTTGCTACGTGAAGAAATCGGTTCAGCGGCTTAGATGATATCGTGGTTCCAGGCAGAAGAAAAAATAGAAACATATCATTGTAAAAACACTACATTCTCAGCTTTCGTTTCGAACCTAAAAATAAAACTAACACTACTTTTACAAAAATCACAAATGAAACAAAATTATTCAAACAAAATAGTTGTACACGTTATATATTTGTACGATAGTCTACAATTCTCTATACTTTTAAAACACATTTTTCATTGTCATTATTTTATTCGTACTTTAATATGCGTGAATATAAAAAAAACGAAATGTGCTATAATATTTAAAATACATTTTTAAATTTGGATTCTATAAAATGTAATTCAAATTTGTAGTAAAGATATTGTTGAACTCATAATGTTATTTAGTTTTATTATTGCAATAAAATGTTATTCTATTATTATCATTTAAATTATAGTTGAATTACCTAGATGTCTGTAAAATAATTTGGTAAAAATGCAGTTCAGTGCTGTAGTAAATAAATTGTTTTATCTTAAATATATGTATACATACGGACTTGTATTATAATGTTTTTCAAATAGTATACAGGTGTTCCTTGGCTTTTGTGGTTCACTCCAGAGGGATCGCCTACGACCATGGACCGACTAGTAACGCTGGACGCTAATTGCAGGCCGAGGAAGATTGAGCTCAAAATGAAATGATCCTGTAGAAATCAACCACTTAGTCGTCTTTTACGACAAGCGGCCTCTTAGTCACCTCTGTTTTTTGTTTAATATAATTTCCATGATACGGCGCATTGTATGTGCAAAATAGATACTTGATTTCATTGAAAACATCCATTACGTTGAAACATATATTCTATTTTAAACGCATATC